TTTCCCCTCCCTAGTAATTTAAACCCCCCCCCAGCCACAACTTCCCAGCACTTCCTATCCTGCTTCTATGATTTTCTCCATTCTCACTTATCTCTAATCTAACATTACTTTCTGTATTTTGTTCATGCTCCCTCTCTCAGGCTTGCTCTCTCCCTCTCTCGCTCTCTCCCTCTCTCCCTCTCTCTCTGTCTCTGTCTCCCTCTCTCTCCACTAGAATGTAAGCTCCACTGTGTAGGGACTGGCTTATGTATCCCTAGCATTTAGAATAGCCTTTGGCACATACTGGAAAATCTATAAATAGATGTTGAATGAATTGAAATAATCTATTTGTATTATATATAAAGACATTGTGACTCTTGTCATGTTTGTGGCAAATATTTTCCCCAGCTGATTATTTACTTTTTAACTGTGTTTTTAATCCAGAGGTTTAAAATTTTAATGTTAATTGGCTTTTGTGATTTCTTCAATGCCACTTTAGTCTTAGAAGGTCCTTCTGTAAACCTAGATCAGTTGGATTTATCTACTTTCTACATTTTATTTCTAGTCTGTTTTATTTTATGATTTTGTTCATGATTCCTTCTTGTAACAAGAAACCTAAAAAGCTCCCAGGAGCTTCTGGAAACAAACCTTACCTAGAGGTGCTATGTTGATAACGTACCCATCACCCAAGTACAGTGCCCAGTGTTGATAGCCAGGACGAAACACTTCAATCAAATCACCTGGCTGAGGGTTGCCAGGATAGTTCAAACTAAAGCAATCATTAAACGCCATCTGCAACGACAGACACAAAGAAGATCTAGCTGATATGACCTGGCAAAAGAAAATCAGTTCAAGGCTTCTATAGAAATATGGCAATACAGAATTTATTGGGATTGCATTCCTTATTAAATACTTAGATTCACACCACTGTCCTTTTCTTTCAATGACTCCTACATGGAATTATGTGGGCACACATGGACAAGTGGAGAAAGAATTTCTCTACTATTGCTTAATTTTCTATAGCAATGCTTCTCATACTGATTAACCCCAGGGCTCCTTTATTATAATAAGCATTTCATGATAATATCTGTTTTACTATGTAAATGTTCAGTTCATGACTACACAAAAAATATAATAAAGCACTTAGCATGAAAAAAGTCAGGATTCGGAAGCAGAAGATCAGAAGTCTTTCAGCCTTTCACATAGCGACTTAGTAAAATCAAAAAGAGGTCTGGGTGTTCACTAACATTCTGTGCAAAAGTATACTTTATCCTGCAAAACTTACTCTGTGCTTTAAGCGGACACAAGTTCCAGGCTCAGATGAGTGTCCAGTCAGATATTCAGGCATGCTGTAGGACACAGGACCTTTCTTCCTTGTGCTGAACTGTGCTGTGCAGACCCAGGCACACTGGCCTCCACCTGAAACCATATACAAGTCCCTGTGTCCCTGTCCTTTGAAGAAAAAAGGCTTTTGCTTTAGTCTTCCAGGCTTCCCCTGAGTCTTAAAAGGCTGGCTCAAGAGTTAATGATTAGGGAAGGTGAAGAGGTAGAAAAAAAGAATAGCTGTTGGGTGGGGAAACTGGTAACAATTTAGACTATAAATCAGCCAGATAGCGGAGTCACCACACTTCCAGTTCCCTGAAATATATAGATAAATATCTGACACACATTGCTAAGTTGTTTTTACAGGAAGCAGAACCCCATCAGGTGAAAACTACTGACTTCAAGCACATAGATCCAGACTGGTTGAAACCAGAAGATTAACGATGCTTGAAACTTCACCTTAATACCAACCAAGCCAAGAATTGAGCACAAGCTGATCACACACCCTGTGGCCCCTCCCTCACCTTGCCTTTAAAAACCCTTCCCTGAAAGCCACTGGGGAGTTCAGAACTTTTGAGCATGAGCTGCCCATCCTTCTTGCTTGGCACCCTGCAATAAATGCTGTACTTTCCTTCACCACAACCCAGTGTCAACAGGTTGGCTTTGCTGCATGTCAGGCAAGGGGACCCAAATCCAGGTTCGATAACCCACTAAATATCAGTAAATGCCCTTTGTCATTGTGACAACCACAAACACTCCCACAGATTTCCACCACTCCCCAACTGCCCCACTTACTGTCTGATTCCTCATTTCTGATTCCCAAAACAGTGCAAGGTGGTTGATGCAGAAGGGGGACAACTTGGAAGGTTGGGAAGTTCATCATATTGATGGGTATGTCTGAAAATTCACAGTTTGGTGAATTTTTTTCCTTTTAGGTCAGTACTTTTCAGAAAGAACATATAAGTCTCTGATGGTTGATTTTTATGGAACATTACATTTTCTATGTACAGCATCCAAGTAGAATGACTCAGTAAGAGGAAGTTATGTACATTCATTGATAATCAAAAGGAGATTTCATGTTACATCCATGTTGAATATCTAATTGACAACAGAGTATTCCTCTGCATCTTTCACTCTAATGTAGATACATATACTCATTTACAAAATAAACCCAAGTGCCAGAAAGGGAAACTTCCAAATCATCTAAATTATAATTATAATAGCATAGGCAAAGAGCTTGGGGATACAGACTATCATATTCCTGGCACACTAAAAGTCTTTTTTACAACAATTAATATTGGGAGGGTGTTTTCCCAAGTATTTGTATGCCATCTGTTGAAAACTTCAATCATCATACTGTCACAGAAATGAGGCCAAATGCAAACTGTCCATCTGTTGAAAAATAACTATTAAAACAACTTTATGGAAACTATTAAGTCTAACCACCCTCTCAAATATGTTTGAGTCTTATTAATATGGCAGTTCACAATTTGGCCACATGGGCACTAAAAGGAAAAATAGATACTATACTATGATATAAACAAACACATTTCCCATGAAAAGGAATCAGCAAGCACACACAGCTGCCTGTTAGCATTCAGAGACCTAGCCAAGCTTACAATAATAACCACCATTTGAACAGAAAGTACTTTGTAGTGTAACGTTTTTTTGAAGTGCACTATTCAATTAACCCTAATTCATGTTTTAAAAATCTACCATGATTTGAGTTTATTATGTTATTAGCCCATTCTACAGCTAAAAAGTGATATTAGCAAGTGCCAACCTTTTTAAAATACTCCCTGAAACACTTGTATTATAATATACGGAGGGAAAAATAATTACCCTAGGTATGAGAGACATGAACTCTTGTTTCAGGTCTTCTCTATGCTAGTTCTGTCACTTTGGGCCTTAAATGTAAAATATAAAATTAGAAAACATAGACGGAAAAATACATAGGAGAAAATCCTCAGGATTTCGGGTAAACGAAGAGTTCTTAGACTTGACACCAAAAGTATTATTCATAAAAGGAAAAACTGACAAATTGCATGTCCTCAAAATTCAAAACTTTTGCAGCACAAAAGACCCTATTAAAAGGACAAAAAGACAAGCTACAGAGCAGGAGAAAATTTTTGAAAACTACATATCCAAGAAAGGACCAATATCAGGAACATACAAAGAACTCTCAAAACTTAACAATTAAGAAGCAAAAAATACAATTAGAACTTGAGCAAAAGACACAATGACACCTTTTATCAAAGAAGAGCCGCAGATGTCAAGCCATGTTAAACATCACTGGCTATTAGGGATATTTAGATTAAAACCATGATAGCACTACATACCTATCACAATAGCTAAATTAAGAAATTGTGACCAGAGAAAATGCTGGCAAGGATGTGGAGTCACTGGATCACTCATTCACTGCTGTTGATAATATAAAATGTTGCAGTCACTCAAAGCAGTCTGGAAATTCCTTTAAAAACTTACCTTGTAACTAAAATATGGTCCAGCAATTGTACTCCTAGACATTTATCCCAGAGACTGAAGACGTTAAAGACTTATATTTGCACAAAAACCTGTACACGAATGTTTATAGCATAATAGCCCAAAACTGGAAACAACCCAGATGACCTTCCATGGGTGAACAGTAAACAATTTGTGGTACACCCATACCATGGAACACTACTCCTAAGGAATAAAAAAGAACAAACTATTAATAAATGCAACAACACAACCAAGGATGAATCTCTAGAGAACTGTGCTGAGTGAAAAAAGCCAGTGACATGACATGTTATATATATGATTCCATCTATACAACATTTTGACATGACCTAATTATAGAAACAGAGAACTAATAATGGTTGCCAGGGGTTAAGGAAGTGGTACGAAGGAAGTGGGTGTGGCTATAAAAAGGCAACATATGAAAGATGCTAGAGGTGGTGGAATGCTCTGCCTCTCCATGTGGTCCATGTCAATAACCTGTTTGTGATACTGCAGTGTGGTGTTGCAAGATGTCACCACTGGGGAAAACCCGGCAAAGGTACAAGGGATCCCTCTGTATTATTTCTTACAACTGCATGTGAATCTACAATTACCTTAAAATAAAAATCTTTAATGAAAAAAAAAAAGATCAATGTATTTTTTTCCTACAGAGCATAGAAGAAGACCAATATGGGGAAGTTACAATGAGGCAACTTTTAGCTGTATACATGGAGAATTTCTCTTTTATTGAAAGTGATCCAACAATGGAATGGAGCACCTTGTAGAGATATCAGTCTCTGCCACTGGGAATGTTTAAACACAGTCACAGTTGATAAAAATAAAATTTCCATGGGGGTGGGGGGGCGCTGGTAAGGTGAGGAGGCCTTCCAAGGTCCCTTTCACCTCTAGTGTTCATCTCATTCTATTTCCCAGAAACTGTGCAATCCTCAAATCAACAGCACAAAGTAGATATAATTATTTCCCCCATTTTAAATATGAGGAACCTGACGTTCACAGCAGTGCAGGGACTCATCCTAAGTTACACAGTGGGAAAGGGCAGAACACACATCTGGACTCAGATTAGCCTACATCCAAGGTCAGGCTCCTCATCCTTAAATGCTTGTCCCCATGTGCACTATACCTCCTCCCTTGCTGACCTTTCTGCAGCCCTTCTTGCACACTGTGAGACTGGGTAACAGTTGTGAGCTGATGATTACAATCACCTTTTTACAGATGAGGAAACTGAGACTCAGATGAATTAAGTATCAGAACTAAAAGTCACACAGGTAGTAACTGACAGAATTGGAATTCAATCCCAGGTCTGTCTGCTTGTTCCAGACCGCATGCTCCTTCCTTACTCCACTGATTAACATCACTAGCCAAAGGAATTGCTACTAAACGGTATTTCATCTTTTCCCCCTTCTCAAATATTCATTAGATAGAGAAGCTGCAAAAGCATACAGAATGTATATTTCATAAGACAACACGGGAAGTTTTTAAACATTCATATGTGGAACCAGTGAGTAATAGGAAGTGGAGCCTTGGGGAACCCCTGCTCTTCTGCAGGGGAGGTGTCAAGATGAGAAGCTTCTAGAAGCGTTTAGAAGGTTCCCAGACTCATCATACCTTAGGGAAATGGCTAAAACCTGTCTGCTTGGGTAATCTGATTTACATGGACATCTACCCATTCCATTCAAGGGCAAGTGTGTTATGTAGTGCTTCATGAACATGATAATACAGAACCAATTAAAGATACATTTTTAAGTCCTCTGCTGAAATCTTTGTGTGTCACCTTTAAGGTAAAAGTAATTCATTTTAACAGTTCATCTGCACAGAATTGTTTGACTAGTTTATGATAAAGAGTGTCTGTAATCTTTGTACAAGAAACTTCCTGTTTCATGCCAAAGCAAGCTTCCTTGTTTATAGCTCCTTGTTGGTCCCCCGGGATGCATCAAAAGAAATAACGGCCCCCTGCACAGATAGGGGCAGGCTGATTAACTGCTGCTTGTGTCCCTGGGGCCACCTGTGTTACAAGAATACTAAGAGCACTTTTTCACAAACTACTCCCAAGGATGCTATTGGCAGTCTGAAACATAAGCACGGGCTATCCCTACAGTCCAACAGTCTCCCAATTCAGTTTGGACCATTTCCCACTAAAGCTGCATTTTTCATCCATAGCCCTGCCTCACTGAGATGGCTCCATGAAGCCCTATGCTCCCAGAACGGCTAATTCACAGATCCTCAGGGCTGCCAGTATCCTTGCTCCCACACCCTCTCCCTACAGCTGAGGGTTCCAACTCCCAGCCAAATGAACCATCCTCAGCCATTGCCCCCTCATTCCTAGCTTGGAATCCCTCCGTGGATCCCCCTGTCGACTCTGAATCTCGCTCCCTCTGTAATCTTGGACTCCTTATTCATCCCTATATTCTAGGCAAACCAAAACATTATTCCTCACTCTCACCTGGAGTTATGTTGCTAATACCGAAACTTCTACCTGGAATGCGCTGCCCATTTCCAAATGACCCACTCTTAAGGATCCAGATCAGA